TTTAAAAGGTATCAGTTGCTTGGCTTGACATTAAAATATAGCATATTCAATATAAAATTGAAGCCAAATCAAATAATAAATAAAATGCATATTTAATGATCATAAAAGGCTAAGTGTAGAAGAGAAAAGTGATACATAAGTCTGCTAAGAGATGACATTTCTGTCACCCCACATGAGCAACAGTGGCTGTTCTGTGCTGGGCCACATACCTCAAATACCTCTAGTCACAATCACCTAAGACTACTGAGAAATACAGAAAAACACACTGAAAAAAGCATAATAATCACTTTCTCAACTAAATTTGGCTAACGTAGGACTGGCATGAATCTTTGGGATTATCTAGCTTATTCTCTTATACTTTAATGGCATAAGTCTTCACATCAAATAATCAGATTGTCTTTAAAGATTTCTACAGAGAAAGTAGATATTTATCAACTCATAAACCCTGAAAGATTTTATAATACTTTTTATTAGATCTTACAGTTCATATTAATAAATTTACCATCCCATATTGTGTAAATGTTTCATATGCATCTTCTTAAACCAGCTCACAAAATGTTACCTTTCTTTTTCTTTGGACATGTTAATACTTCATATATGTTTCTATATTTACGCATTTGTATTATTCTATAAATCGTATTCAGATCAGCATCAAGCACATACTATTTAGTAAAAGCTGTCTGAATGTTTAATGACAGTTATCTGGTTACAAACTCTAATCATTTATTATGTTTCCAAAAATGTTCATCGTGTTGGAAATTTTTCTTTTTACAAATAGCATGATGAGATATTAAATACTAAAACTTATAGCAATAACTTGTTTCAACAACTGTAATTTGTACTGTTTGTATGTTATTATCTTTGGCTCTAATGTATTTCAATAATCAGTTTTCTAGAATTATGACTACAATTTTGATTTGAAAGTGCTTCAAAGTAAAACCTTGATTTAATTTGAAAAGTGAGAAATTAAAATGGAAATTATTTGTTACCATTTGACAGTCTATTCATGCTTCTAAGCAAGTATGACCTTTTAAAAGTTTAAAATCTCAAATTTCCTTGATAAAAATTTATACTGCAGAATATCTTGTACTTTACTTCATTTCTTTATATGATATAAAATTGAATATAAGTACTTGTATATCAGGGAAAAAATATAACAAAGATAACTGTATTCATAAAATAGTACTACAGCAAAAAATAAATATGTATGCAAAGACTAGCTATAAATACCTTAAAATAGATGGGAGCCATATCACCCACTTCCTTTGGAAGAGGAATGCATTCATAAACCATGTGATACTGTTTCTTCATGCTCATATTAGTCTCTAAAAAGATGCAGTCCAATCCCTTAACTTCAAACATCTTTACCAATGATTTTCTGAACATCTAAAGAAAAAAAACAAGGTAAATAAAGCATACAGGAGATTCAAGATAAAGCACAAGGGATTCAAAATATGAAAACAATAAAAAACACAATAAATCCCTTAAAAGAAAACAGAAAATAATGTCTGAACTCTATAATGTCATCTTATAGTTACTTTACTTTCTAAATCTACTACATAATTTCACATATTTAAGCAATGTTTTTTAAAACTGAAACCTCCTCTCTATATATTGGAAATGGTTCCAGTAAACTGAGAAAAGGAATAGATAAAATTTAACTTAGGTGGTAAAATATACAGAACTGACAGTAAAATCATAGGAAAATATCCATGAGCCAAAAAGGTACTCTGAGTAGATGGGCACCCTTAAATTCAGGAAGCCAAATATACCAAAGTTGAAAAGTAAGAGGGTTTTCTTTTCTCAAAGAGCTAAGATTTATTATACAATCCATTATATATGTATACATGTATTTCACACTCTTAGGCCTGAGGAACAGTTGTTTGTAGAGGGTGGTTGAATGGAGCTGAATGGTTCAGGATGTCTGCATGCAATCACGTGACACCCCTTGCAATATAGGATGGAGTTAGGGGTAGAAAGAAAGGAGAGCTGGCTGCAGGATGGGCACCAGAGGCCAGCTCTCCCCACACCACTATGCTCTAGTGTGGCCCTCCAATGTGTCTGAGAATTTATATTCAAAGTTGGCCTTGTAGGGTGTTACACAAATATACTTATCTAAGTAGGAAGATAATACACATTTTACCTAGATTTTTCAGCTTGATTCATAACATTTTATTTTGAGGTAATTAGCAATCACATGTAGTTATAAGATATAATATAGATGGGCAGACCCTGTGCCTCACTCGGGAGAGTGCAGCACTGGAGCACCGAGGCCACTGGTTCAGATCCTATATAGGAATGGCCGGTGCGCTCACTGGCTGAGCGCGGTGCGGATGACACCAAGCCAAGGGTTACGATCCCCTTACCGGTCACAAAAAAAAAAAAAAAAAGATATAATAGAGAGACCCCATATACCCTTTACTCAGTTTCCCACTATGATAATGTCTTACAAAACTATAGAACGATATCACAACCAGGATATTGACACTGATACAGTCAAGATATGAGCAATTCCAACACCAATCATAAGGATCTCTCCTGTTGCCCTTCTATAGTTGCAGTCACTCCACACCGTACTGACTCCCCAAAATCTCCCTTGCCTTAACATCTGGAAACCACAAATCCACTCATTTCTTTAATTTTGTCATTTCAAGAATGTTATATAAATAGCATCACGTAATCTTTTGGGTTGACTTTTTAAAATCAGCATAATTCCCTGGAGATCAATCCAGGTTGTTACATGTATGAATAGTTCAATCCTTTTTATTACTGAGTAGTATTCCTGACATGAATATACCAAAGTATGCTTAACCATTCACCTTTATCAGATAATCTATACTGTAGCTATATAGTAAGTCTTGCAATCAGGTAAGATTGACTCCAGTCACTTTATTCTTCTTTTTCAATTTTGTCTTAGCTATTTTAGTTCCTTTGCCTTTCCATATAAAGTTAAGAGTAATCTTGTCCATACCTACAAAAAATCTTGCTGGAATTTTTATAAAAATTTTGTTGAACCTTAATATTAACTGTCATCTTTACTATGTTGATTCTCCTAATCCATAAACATGGTCTCTCCACTTATTTGATCTTTTTAGATTTCTTCCATCAGTGTTTTGCAGTTTTCAGCATACAAATTCTGGACATGTTTGGTTAAATTTAAACCTAAGTGTCAACCATCCTCAGTATTTGTGGATTCTGTATTTGCAAATCTGCCTACTTGCTAACATCTACTTGCAATCACAAAATCAATTCTCACAGCAATTTTGAAGTCATTTGCAGACAAGTGTAGAGCAGCGGAAAATTTGAGTCACCTGACATACACATTCCCAGCTGAGGTTGAACAAAGTGATGACCTGCCTTGTTTCAGTTCTCATCCTGTAAGTGTCCTTTTTGTGGTCTATTTAGTGCCACATTTCCACATTTGTGCTTTTTGATGCTCATTTCCCTGTTTAAAACAGCCCCAAGCATAGTACTGAAGTATCTTCTAGTGTTCCTATACATTACAAGACTGCGATGTGCCTTATGGAAAAAATACACATGTTAGATAAGCTTCATTCAAGCAGGTGTTAATCTTTGTTCTGAGAGTTTTTATTTTGATTCTGAAAGTTTTTATCATGAATGGATGTGAATTTTGTCAAATGCTTTCTTCATCGATTGATATGATCATGGTGAATTACGCTGATTAATTTTTTAATACTGAATCAGTCCTGCATACTTGGTATAAGTCCCACTTGACCATAATGTATAATTCTTTTTATATATTGCCAAATTCTATTTGCTAATATTTTGTTTTAAAATGCTGCATCTATATTCATGAGGGATATTAAGCTGTAAAAGTTTTTTTGTTTTGTTTTTGCTTTTTTAACTGTCTTTGTGGTATCAGGATAACACTAACTTCATAAGATGAGTTGGAAAGTGTTCCCTCCTCCTCTATTTTCTATAAGAGATTATATAGAGTTGGTGTCAATTCTTCCTAAATAATTTGGTAAAATTTTCCAGTGAAACCATCTGGGCTTGGAGACTTAGTTTTTAGAAGTTTTAAATTATAAATTCAATTTCCTTAATAACTTGAAGGTTTTTCAAATTTGGTATTTTATATTGAATGAGTTGTAACAATTGGTGTATTTCAAGGAATTGGCTCATTACATCTAAGTTGTCAAACGTTGTATAGTTCATTGTATAGACTGACATCTAAGTTGTCAAACATTGTATGTTCATATTATTTCCTTATTATCCTTTTGATGTCTGCAAAGTCTATATGACATCCTGTTTATTACTAATATTGGTAACTTGTGTCTTCTCAATTTTTTTCTTTATCAGTCTTGCTGGAAGTCTGTTAGTTTTATTTATCTTTTTAAAAACCCCAGCTTTTTGTTTCATTGCTTTTTTTCTATGGTATTTCTATTTTCAATTTCATTGATTTCTGTTTTTATCTTTATTACATCCTCTTGCTTGTTTTGGATTTACTTTGCTCTTCTTTTTTCTAGGTTATTATGGTGAGATTTTTCCTCTTTTCTTATATAAGTTTTTAGTTCTATAAATTTCTCTCTCAGCACTGTTTATCTCTGTCTCACAAATTTTAACATGTCATTTTATCTTAATTCGGTTCAATATATATATATTTTTTATTTCCCTTGAGGTTTCTCTTTGACCCATAGATTATTTAGAAGTGCATTGTTTAATTTCAAAGTATTCTGTACTTCTGTTATTTGCACACACATTTAGGGTTGCTATGTCTTCCTGGTGAATTGACCCTTTCATCATTATGTAATGTCGCTCTCTTCTCTGGTAATTTTCTCTGCTCTGAAGTCTACTTTATCTGATAAATATAGCCACTCTTGCTTTCTTTGGATTAATGTTTACATGATATACAAGGGGTCTTCAAAAAGTTGATGGAACGATTCATCTTATCTTTCAATTCCATTTTTTCACAAACTATTTGCATTGCTCACGTATATATTTCCATGCTTTCACATTCTACCTGCGATGTTATTACATTTAAAAAATTAAATTTAAATGTCACTAGATAATGGTGATAAAAATCACTTGAAAGAAGTGGCTCCTGCATTTGCAAACAATATTTTGGGCTACACCATATCATTTTTTAAAAATATATCTAATAAAAGAGGTAATTATAAGGATATTTGCCAGAGTATAATGAACTCCAGTTGTCATACATACTTGAAAGTAAAAACAAAAAAGTGCATTTCTGTAAATAGGCTAGGATTCAGATATTTCATTAGTTCACTATCCTACGGTAATTTATAACTTCTAACAATTTTTTTATTATATTACACAAAAAGAATTATAATGCCATTATTTACATAAAACAAGTTGGCTTTTCCTTCCTCTCTCAAGTTTCCATAATGCATCTGGCTTCTAAACTCTGCTAAACTATAACATAACCTATACTATAATAATATACCATACCTTTGGGTAGAATTAATGAATAATTTTATCTCTACATTTCTCACAGCATATACAATATCATATCTGTTGAAAATAAATTTCTTCCTATCAACTTCAATTTTTTCATCAAAGAGCTTAATTTTTTATAGAAATATAAAATATATAACTAGATTCGTGTAATTGCTTAAAATCGTTTGCACTGTATTTTGCTCTAGGTTAAATCAATTTTATATGTAAAAGTTTTAAAAGGCACCCCAGAAAAATTCTAGAATAATTCTGAAAACCAAATTTCCATACTTTCCACCTTAAATTACCTATTGGCACTGGCATCAACTACTAGGAAAAAAAACAAACTTTCATATCAAAAATACTTGTCCACATTCTTACCCTTGCTTGGCCACGGATGCAATAAAACAATCTGCCCTTTCAAATTTCATAGAATAAATTTAAAAAGTGAATGGAGTACAAGACTAAATTTCATGAAATGTCATCAAAATATCTCCTTTTCTGACACCTTTATCAGCATGCTGCAAAAACTAGTATAGTAGTCTCTTCTGAAGTCTTACAAAGTTCACATTTTCTAACTAGGGCTCCCTGTAACCCCTATTCAGTTGTCAGGCATTAGAAAAACAATAGTTTTCTTTGTTATTTTTTTGGTCATTACTAAGTCTTGAAATAATTCCGTAACCATTTCAACCATGCTGTGCCTTTTACTCTCTTAAAAAATCAGCCATAAAAACAAATTGCTGAATCTTTTTAAAAGCTGGGCCAGGATATGAAGGAACAAGGGCAGAAATCAAAACTAGAAATAAAAACACCACAAAATCACAGCAGCAGAGAAGGCCAATTCCACTACAGGAAAATGTGGCAAATGCTGAATATAAACCTCTAACTCCCCAAATTTCTTTTCATTGTCTGAAAAATTCTTTCCTTTTGGTTGGAATGTATTAGCTTACTATGGTAAAAAATGATTCTCATGCTACACAAAGGACTAATTAGAAATCTTAGATTGATGTTTTTTAAGAAAAAATAATTATTACTTTGTCACAGTTTATTTAGTACACAAAAGTTTTCAAAAGATGAAGTATATAAAGGAAATAAAATTATGATCTGCAGATCTATATAACTATGAAAATACAAGCGTTTAAGTTTAGAAAATAAAATCACTGAACAAAGATATAAAACCTGTTGGAATTTATCACAATAGTTTGCAAAAATTACTCATGAGCTTTATAATAATAATGTGACATTATCGTGCTAACCTGAATTTCCTCCCAGATGTCTTCATCCAGTAAGGTAGCTGCTCTATGGTGCTGCAAAGGTACTATCAGGCAGTGCCCCTCAGTAAGAGATCGGAAGTTGGGTAAACATAAGTAAACCTAGGGGGAAAAGATTCCAAAGGTGAAATGCTATTGTTATTTAGTCTCAGTTGAAACAGATGAGCCCCTAGCAGGGAAAAACAGCTAATATTTAATAAAGTATACTTGCTTATAAAGGAATGTTTTTTATTTTAACATTTTTAAAGAGATATAATATTTTTAAATTTTTTTTAAGTCATGAAGATGGCTTTTAATAAACTGGAAAGTAAGAGCACTAGTCTTAATTTTCACTGTTATACATCAGACAAAAATTAAGATTAGCCAAGGAAGGACAGAATGAATGACAGACCCTTTATCCTTGATTTGATGGAGTTATATACTTTGAAAACCCTTGAAACAGCACAAGTTTATATACTTTGAAAACCCTTGAAACAGCACAAGTTTTGCAAGAATAAAAAGATACATGGCCTGGTGATGGTAGAATAGTCTAACTGATGCCTATCAATCAGGCCTACCCCTTATTAGCCAAGAAAAAAAAATTAACCCAGCTAAGAGGGAGAAGAAATAACCTGAAAATTACTTAATGCTGTTTATTTACATACATGTATTACTTAAAAGTTGGTGCTATTTTTCCATTATACACAAACTGTCTTTTTTTTTTAAAAAAGCCAATTAGTATCTATGCAGTGAACACGTGGTTTCATGAGGAGCATAAATAATACTCTGCAAAGGAGTTTGGTCTTATTTTCTATTATTTTTGTTAGGTTTTGATTGGAAATATTTTTCATGGCAGGCATTATTTATTGATCTATTTTACAAAATAATGAAAATTTTTAAAACTTCGTTGAGAAAGGACAAAGTAAGAGTAGATACGGATATTTACCTAAATTTACAGTAAAATCACAACCACATTCATAAAAAGAACAGACATTCCCATTAAGAGCACTGGGAATGTCTGTAAGCAACTTAGAAAATGAAATACTGAAAGAAATAACTAAACTTCCTACATGATTACTAAGATAATGAGGTAGATACAAGTGTCAATCATAGGTAAGAAAACTGCAATAAAGTTCATTTTTTAAAGCATTATAAACATAAATATCACCTAAAATAGGTATTAAAAATCATTTTTCCCAAACGAAAATAGACATATAAATGAGAAAAGAAAAACAGATTAATTAATACCTCAAATAAATAAATTAGAACACATAAAAAACAATTTGACAAAGTGAGCAGAGCCATTTATTCATGAATCAGTAATTACTGAGGGCCTACAATATGCCACACACTGTTCTACAAGCTAGGGAATCAGCAATGAGCAAAGAAACACAAACCTCTACAAATCTAATCATAAGGAGTTTGTGGGGTGCTAAATGTCTGTGTTCCCCCAAAATTCATACATTAAATCCAGCAGGATTCATATATGACATGATGTCTATATGGAAAATCATAAAGAATCAACAAACAAACTCTTGGAACTAATAAGTGATTATAGCAAGGTTACAGGATATGAGGTTAATACACAAAAGTAACTGTTTTCCTACATACCAACAATGAAGAACTGGAATTTAAAATTTAAAATACAATATGATCTATAATAGCACCCAAAAAGTGTAATACTTTGGTATAAATCTAATGAAATATGCACCAGATCTAGGTGTGAAAAGCTATAAAACTCTGCTGTAGGAAACCAAAAAAGATCTAAATAAGTGAAGAAATATTATATTCATAGATTAGAAGACTCAATATTGTTAGGATTTCAATTCTTCTCAAGCTGATCTACAGATTCGACGCAGTCCCAATCAAAATCCCAGGAAGCTATTTTGTACATCAAAAAGTGATTCTAAAATTTGTATAAAAAGGCAAAAGATCCAGACTAGCCAATGCAATAATAAGAACAACAAAGCTGGAGGACTCATGCTACCCAACTTCAAAACTTACTATAAAGCTATCATAACCAAGACAGTGTGATACTGGTGAAAGAACAAACACAGCAAAACAGCCCAGAGACAGGCCCACATGAATATAGTCAACTGATCTCTGATAAAGGAGCAAAGGCAATTCAATGGAGAAAGGATGGTCTTTTCAAAAAATGGTGCTGGAACATTTGAACATCCACATGCAAAAAACATAAATCCATAGACAAATCTCACACCTTTCACAAAAATTAATTCTAAATGTAGAAGGCAAAACTACAAAACTTCTAGAAAAAAAAATCACAGAAGAAAATCTAGGTGTCTTGGGTTTAATGAGTTTTTAGAACTCACCAAAAGCATAATTGATTAAAGAAAAAGTTGATAACATGAACTTTATGAAAATTAAATACTTCTGCTCTATAAAAGACACTGTTAAAAGAATGAAAACACAAGCACTGGGTGGGAGAAAATATTTGCAAAATGGATATCTGATAAAGGACTTGTATCTAGAATATACAAGGAACTCAAACAACTTTATCACAATATACAAAATATACAAAAACAAACAAACAAAAACCTCTTAAAGCTCCTCAACAAGAAAACAACTCATTTAAAACATGGGCAAAAGATCTGAAGAGACACCTCACCAAAGAAGATATACAGCTGGCAAATAATTATAAGAAAAGATGCTCAATATCTCTGTCACTAGGAAACTGCAAATTAAAACAACAATGAAATACGACATTAAAAATTACTAAATCCAAAAAAGTGACAATACCAAATGCTGGCAAAGATGTGGAGTAACAGGAATTCACTCACTGATGTTTGGAATGCAAAACTAGTAGGTACTTTGGAAGATAGTTTGGCAGTTTCTTACAAAGCTAACTATAGTCTTATCATACAATTCATCTAGTATTAACCCAACTGATTTGAAAACTTAGGTGCACACAAAAACCGGGATGTAAATGTTTATAGCAGTTTCATTCATAATTGCCAAAAACTGGAAGCAAATGGGATGTCCTTAAACTGGCACAACCATTACAATGGAATATTATTCAGCAATAAAAAGAAATGAGCTATTATTCCATGAAGAGATAAGGAAGAAACTTAAAAGCATATTGCTAAATAAAAGAAGCCAGTCTGAAATGACTACGTCAGGCATGAGTCCAATTATGTGACATTCTGGAAAGGGCAGTGGAGACAATAAAAAGATCAATGGTAGCCAGGAGTACAAGGGAAGCAGGGATGGCTGAATAACTGGAGTCCTGGGGATTTTTAAGGTAATAAAACTATTTTTTTGATACTTTAGTGATGAATATATGACATTACATATTTGTCAAAACTCACAGCATACATTTATATTACAAGCTTTTTAAAGACTTTAATTATAATACTCATACGGAAAAATACTCAACTCATAAGTATATAACTGATGAATTTTCATGAAGTACATAACTGTATAATCAGCACTAGATCCGGAAACAGAACAACACCAGCAGCTAGAACCACCCCTCGCAAATCATCTTCCACTCACTACTGTTCCCCAAAGAATAACCCTTATCTTGATTTTTTATTTTTTTTTTTAATTTTTAATGTTTTAATTTTTTCTTTTTTTTGATAATTTATTATACATACATGTGGGGTACAACATTGATTTTCAATAATTGTGTACAATGTGTGACGGTTAAACTGGATAGTTAGCTTATTCATCATCACAATACCCAACCATTCTTTGTGTCTGTTGACAATTCCTCATAAGCCCCCAGCATTTTAAAGCACAAAGAATGAACCTTCACATATGCAAATTTTAAAAAATTATTTAGGAAATCAAGGGATCCCAGTAAGGAATGGAGACTGTGACAGGAAAATCTAATTGTTTACAAATGCAGGAAATAATATACCTGAAGAGGGTAGAGAGCAAAAGGTGCTGACCTAAGTAATTTTGGAAATGAGTGGAGTCTGTAAACTAAAGGCAAAAGCAACTGGACATACACACTATACTCTAGTTTAAAAAATTGTTTCCCACAGGGGTACAAGTTAGCAATTCTGATACTGCTATACAATTGAACTGGAATTAAATGGATGGTGGAGTGGGAATTTATAGATAAGCACGGAGACGGGGCTAGAATAATTCATGTAGATTAGAGTTGAAGACATCAGTACGAAATCATGTTTAGCTTGATATAGACATTGATAATTACAAACAGAAAAATTAACAGATATGTATATTAACACAGGTTAGTATACGCACATATATTTCTTTACTCTGTCCCTGAGAGGGACTAAAAGAAACATCCCAGTAGTAATGATATCCAGACCCTGGGTTTTAATACATTCTCCAATACCTCGGAGAAATGGCTGACTCCAAGACTGGGTCAGAGAATACACAAGATTAGCCCGGAGCATTTTATCATTCCAGAAAGTAAGAAAATCCTCAAAAATAAATAAATAAATAAAAAGCAAAAACCCCATTCATGGGGGTATGTCAAAAAGATACAGGAGCCAACTAAAAGTGTTCTCAATAGCCAAAGCTGTAAGAACTTGAGCAACAAAATTAATAATGTAGTATCTGGTTATAATAGAACACATAAAATATGTATCCATGAGTCCATAATGACATAAAAAAATAATTGAATAAATACATAAGTAAACAGGTGAGAAGAGGGCCGGCCCCATGGTTCACTCGGGAGAGTGTGGCACTGGGAGCGCCAAGGCCATGGGTTCGGATCCTATATAGGGATGGCCGGTGTGCTCACTGGCTGAGTGTGGTGCGGACCACACTGTGCCAAGAGCTGCATTCCCTTACCGGTCAGGAAAAAAAAAAAAAAACAGGTGAGAAGAGACAAATCTCCCATGTAGAAAAATTCCAAATAATTTATGTAGGAGAGCGCCAAATCCAACAGAGAGGAGACATACTCCTTAAAACTGTCAAGGTTATCAAAAATAAGGAAATTCTAAGAAACTGTTCCAGCCAAGAAGAGCCTAATGAGACATGACTACTAAATGTAATGTGGCATCTTGGATGGGATCTTAGAAGAGAAATAGGACATGAGGTAAAGACTAAGAAAATCTGAACAAACTATTCAGTAACAATATCAGTACTGATTAATGAATCGTAACAACAAATATACTATACTAGTAGTG